TCAATCTGATATATAAAATGTGTATGCTTTTTTATATATTTAAGCCAAAAAGATTATAAAACAAAAAAAAATTCATAATTTTTTCATAAAATAATCTTTTTTTTTTGAAAAAGTCCATAATCAATGCTAAAAAAATTTATATTACATAGAAAGTGCAAAGTTTTGCCTTTTATTTGATATACATATTATATTATGGTTTGCTTTTGGGTTTTCAGAATTCAGTGATAATAAAAAATATAAATGCATGTATGTGCAAATGCATGTTGTAGTTAGTTAATTAGAAAGCAGATAATCTTGTAAGTTCACGCACTCGTTTCGCTTCGTCTCGTTTCGCTAGTAAAATTGCGTATAATTAGTGAAAACGGGGGCGGTAGCAATAGCAAATACATAAAAATGAGAAGCATTCCTAGCATAGCTTAAAAGTTTGCCAGTGCGGTTGTCTTGTTCACAGTTCAAAAACTCTCACTCAAAGGAAATCGGCCAACTGGTTGGTGCGTTTGTAGGGAATTTCGTTAAGTACGTTGGTCAACTGGTTGGCCGATAAGTCAATGCGTGTGTAGGGCCTTTGAGGGTTTATACCGGACAATACTGTCATGACCAGGGAACGGATTTTTAGGGCCTAAAAACCTATAAAAAAGGCAAAATAAAATAACGAAATAGGCTGGAAAAGGCAAAATAAAATAGCGAAAAAGACAGGAAAAAGCACTAGGTATTGCAAAAAAGGCAAAACAAAATAGCGAAAAAGGCAGGAAAAGGCACTAGGTATTGCAAAAAAGCAAAATAAGGCACTAAAAAAGACATGAAGTACGAAGAACAATCAAAAAATACATTTATTTTAGAAATGTTTATATTACAAGTAAAAAGAGAAAAACTATGAACTAGTTTTATTATATGAAAAATTTGTACTTTGAATCTTTGACTATTTTACCCTTTCTAGTTTCTAACTCATAAAAGTTTAGTCTGTAAAGTTGTAGTAAAATTGAACCTTAAGATGCATTTTGAAGTTTTCTGGCAGCATTTTCATTCGATTTTCGCGAAGACACCCTTGAATGTACTACATGTGCGCTCGACGTAAGTTGATACAAGTGGAGCCCAATATAAATATGGAACGTTTGAAACGTTCATATTATCAGGAATAAGGGCGTTTTCCTCGCCCTTTACAATTTTATCCACACCCCTTATTGTCTCCAAGCCTACGTTAGCTGAGAACACGGCTTTGAATTTTTCCAACACCAATTTGGCAAGAGGTCCCTGCGCTTCTATAAGCCGCATGGGCATCTGTATGTTTTTTAATTTAAAAAAAATAAGTTGTAAATGCTATAATCACTTTTTTAAAGGTAGAAAAGGCAAAAAAATTCAAATAACTTAAAAAACGCAAAAAAGGCAAATATCTTAAAAAAGGCAAAAAAGGCAACATCAAATGTGTATATATGGAATCAGGGAAAGCTAAATCGTGGACATTCTTCATCGAACATACTCTATCTCTTTATACCATGTTCTGACCGACAACGAAAACACCTTGGAAACGAATTTCGGGATTGTGGGCTGAAGGCTGTCCACACCGACTGTTGGTGTTTTCGTTGACATTTCTTACTTCCTTTGTTTACAGTTTTGCTACACAAATACAAAACCAAAATACTTTTCCTGCAATTTCTTTTTATTAACAACCTTTTACTTTCATGCTTATTTTATTATAGTCACCAATTAACAATAAATCCGAAATGGCGTATTAAAGATGATAAAATATGACTGCCACTTCGATAAATAATCGAAAAAAAACTAGTGCAGACACCGATTAGAATGAGTGGAACCTGAGTTTTCAAGTGGTTTTCAGCGAAAACTTGTTTTCGTTTGACAGATTTTATATGGACGAAAATACAAGCTTTAGGTCGAAAACCAGTTTTAGCAATGAAAACATGTTTTCAATGTCGGTCAGAACATGGTATTAGCGGAAAAAAGGCAATTTTCATAAAATCCGTTCCCTGGTCATGACAATAGCAATACATGCACACTTTTTCACTAACTTAGGGTTAACACCAGACAACACTGTCATGACAATAGCAATACAAGCACACTTTTTCACTAATCCATGCATACTTTTCCAATTGTCTCAATCACTGTCTTGATTTTTTTCAAGACAGTAAATCGGACAATGATTTGACGCATGCATACAATAGTTTTGACGTCTTGTGCAAGAAAGAAGAGAAATTCATAACAAAAGAACTAAAATATCACGTGAGACGCAGATGTGTATGTAACTTTGTCTCTTCTTTATTATTTTTTAGTTTTTAGCTTAAATAGCTCGCGCGAAATGCGAACTATAATACAACGTTCACGTCCGACAATTTGCTCAAAATGAATTGTCATAATTATTGTCAGGACGCCTACGCCACGGAGACAATTATCAGCGTTTTTGACAGCTAATACGTGTTTTTTAATCTTCTTNTCACGTGAGACGCAGATGTGTATGTAACTTTGTCTCTTCTTTATTATTTTTTAGTTTTTAGCTTAAATAGCTCGCGCGAAATGCGAACTATAATACAACGTTCACGTCCGACAATTTGCTCAAAATGAATTGTCATAATTATTGTCAGGACGCCTACGCCACGGAGACAATTATCAGCGTTTTTGACAGCTAATACGTGTTTTTTAATCTTCTTGACAGCATTATCCAATGTAAACGCGCCGTAAAGGCCCCGCCAGATAGAAAATTTTTTCTGTGTCGCAAGGATGCTTTTGACTGACAAAACGAACATAACATAGCGAGGCGGCACAATGAAAACTTTGCCGCAAACAAAACGGTTCAATTTGATTGGTCAAAAATCAGCTGGTTTCAATTCGGTTCATACATTTTTGTTGAAAAGTTGAGATTTAGGCGAATTTTAACAGTTGCGGCAATGCATGTGTTGCCAATGTGGCATCTTCTATTCAAAATCACAGAGTTAACTTGGATGCCTGTCAAAAGCATCCCTGTGATGCAAAAACGAAATTATATCTGGTGGGGCCTTAACACTATTCCAGCCGGTTTCACCATCAATTTAAGTGGAAAATGATTTTTTAATTTCGGTCATTTTCCATATAAAATTCAAAAAGTTTAAATAATTGTTCATTTAAATTGCGAATCTGAGGGCTCTGTCACACGGTCAGTAATTATCACGATATTTGGATCGCGATCCATATTGATGGATTGCGCACGAATGCTACATGTTTAATATTTATCGCGTCAGTATTTGCATAATTTTTGTGCTGAATGCTTATTATAACGCAAGAAAATAATTTTATTTTGTACGTATAATTTACAGATAATGCATTCCACAATTATTTTAAATTTCCAATGTTAATTAAATTTAAATTTAATTGTTCAAGTAAGGAAGAGTTAATTCAACATGACAACACATTTTAAAGCATTTTGTTGCATCATTTTATACTAGGTTCACATATAAGTAGATTATCCTAATTTTCGAGCTTAACACCCTAATCTGTAATTATAACAAGAGATTAGCCATATAAAATTCGTCCCTTGTTAATCTGTAATTATAAAATAATCTCAGATTTAACCGATAACTTTTTGGTGTCCATCCTAGTTTTATCGATTGTTTTTGCGAAAGAGAGGAGAAATGCCAAATGTAAAAGTAAACAAAAATGTACGCTAGCAAGTAAAAGAGGTTTGTAAAGGTATTTTTAATAAAATGTTAAGTTAAAATATATTTATATTGCTTATTATAGCAGAAAAACGTGATCACGGGGGCACAGAGAAGAAACATAACTTTTCCTTGAGATGTGAGAATAACAAGCACAACAAATTTGACGGCTAATAATCTGAGATTTGCCTGTGTAAACGGGGTGATTAAAAAACGAGCTTTGATTAAGATAATATTGATATGTGAACATAGTTTTACCTAAATTGTGCGTTTAAAGTAGCTGACAATAATTTTGGCTAATTTTGGTGTTCGTTGTTTTCTTTGCTTTGTTTACTTTTCGCTCGTTTTCCAGTGAAACAAGATGGCGTAGAACCCGCTAAAAACATCGACTTTTTTCACTCTCTTGTTCTTACGTGATCTTGTGTCTTTCTTTCATGTAACTATCCTGCCAAAATGTTAGACAGGGTGTTTAAAGTGATGTAAAAAAAAAAAAAGTTATTAAAATAAAGTAAAAAAATTGGCAAAATATGCATTTAGTTAAATGGATTCCTGCATTTATATGCCATTTTAGTATTTTAAAGCGCTTTGGTCAATAACTATTACACTGAATAGAACTTTTTGGCTGTTTTTGTCAGAGTCTGTTTAAAGTTTTTTTTATAGATATTAGTGTAACCCTGTAGCCAATAAAATCAGGTAATCTGAGCTGTGGGGCATTTCTGCAAAACATCCGATTCTTTTTTCACTTGTAAGTATGCACAATGGCCAAGACGTATTCACACAAGGTGTGTATCAGCTGATTTCTTTGCCTTACATGTATTTTGTTTTTGCTTTTACTGATTTGACAAACATCCATCAAAACCAAAAACAAAATACATGTAAACTTTGGACGAATTGAGTTTTGACATAAAACCCACAATGCAATATACATGTGGTTGTTGTTGCTGTAATCTAAATTCGCCAGTTACACCACCAAGGCGAATCTATACAAAGGTGTCTTGACAATGTTGTCTGGTGTAAACCGCAAATCGAGCTGTCTCAACTGAAACCACCTTCTATTATTGCATCGTGGTCAAAAAGATGTGTTTGTTATAATTTTGTTTTGTTTTACTGAAAGTCAATGTACGTATANATGGAGTGCACTACAATGTTCACTGTTCTCTAACAGATTAGGTGAAAAATGCAATATTTTCGCATTTAGCAAAATTAAAACACGTTTTTCGCAGTAAAGTGAACTGCTTTGGGTGTTTCAACTCGTTCTTCTTTTTGCTCTATTCTTTGTTTACTTGTGGTACACAAATGTCAACGCCCAGGACGGCGCAATCTTGTATTCTATCATTCTTGGTACGTATATGTTGTAATTTTTGTTTTTGTTTGCTAACACCACCTTGTATAAATCGCCTTGGATGTGGATTAACAAGAAATATCGATACGTCGACAAGTGGTCGATTAGAATAATGTCGATGCATCTAAGCAAAACATCGATGTTTTTTTGAAATCCCTGACACCGGGCTCAATTCATCTTGCCGTCATTCTCGCAGCAAACTCGATTTTCGGCAACTGACAGGCAGGAAGCGTGGCGGATTTATTTTTCAATAATTTTTCATATTTTCACATTAGTAAAATTCCCATTTGTTATTTATCTACATCAACATTTCATTCGACCATACGGCAAATAAAACAAAAAAATTCAAATACAATTCGATCGACCGAATTGGACGGTAAACAAATTTTTTGTCGTGCAAAATTTTTTGTAAGTCGCAGGACCGAAAGGGAAATTTGTATGAGTTCGGTTGGAAGTGAATTAAGTAATTCTAATTCCCATACATTTTGGCATCTGCCTGGCAAATGCAGGTAAATCGTTTTACGGTGTGTCGTTGGGTCTATCTTGAACTACCTCAAGAGCAGAGTTGAAATAAGGATTAGTGCTGTGAAAATTTTGTCGTGGAGTATCCAAAACTATCGGGGAATAAAGGGGCTTCGCGGAGGGTGAAGCACGCCCAAAGGCGTAGTGAAAATCGCCCTTTGCAAAACGAGCAAACGGTGATTTTTAGTGAAGGATTTACGCCCAGGGCTTAAGCATCAACATATACTAGCGTCAGTTGTTATTGTACCAGCAGCCGCAGCTGGAAAAACAACGCCCTAAAAACCATCACAAATATCACCAGTTACACAAAAACCATTGCCTAAAATTGCTCCAACTCGTCAAATCCCACAGAAGTTCCGGCCCCGTAAGAAGCCGGAAGGTGAGCCAAGGAGGAAAAAAATGGAAAAGAAGTCACATAAAGCAACACGTAATGGCAATATAATAGTAGCTGGTGCCAGTTCCGGCATCTCAACCGGTGGCAGCGCAGTTGCACCCGTCACGACGCTTTCCATACCCACCCGCACAACTGGCCATAAGCAGCACACTCCCAGCGGTAGCGCAGTAGCCGCAACTGGCGCTGCTGGCGGTGGTGGTGTCAGTAGTAGTGGGAAACACCGCAGCAGCAACTCGGGTCATCACTATCACAGTCATCACACACACCTTACTAGTCATCCCCAACACCACCAGCACACCACACACACCAGCACAGCGAATCAAACGCAGGAAGCAACGCAAGTGCAGCATTCGACGCTACATGCCCCGAATCCCGCGATATTGCTAGCAGTCGGCAAAGCGGCTAACGAAGCCAGCCGGGGCACGAAAGTTACGGGTACACAAGTCACCAACGCTATGGAACATATAGCGACAGCGCTAACAACAGTCAGTCCCAAGTTGGCAACGACGGCGGCGATGCGCAACAAAAACGAAGGTAAGCTTACTTGACACAGTGTTTAACGTTTGATCGAATGTAAATAAGTCGTAAGTGAGAAAAGCCAGTTAGCGTGTGTAGAAAAAAAATAATAATATGTACATAGATGATAAAAAAATAAGCCATTTGCTTATCGGGCATTTATATAGGTGATGTATGTGCGCTGTGTGTTTTGTGTTGTACAAACATAAATAAAACTGGTAAAAGTAACGACCTTTGTTAAGGTTGCTGCCCGCGTTTGCTAAAATACGTTAGAGAGCATGTGGGTGAAGGGGAGATGGTGGCGCAAGTTTTTTTATTCACAATTGGGCACTTGTGATAACCACATTTTCGTTTTTGATGGCTTTCTGCTTGTGAAGTTCCCTCGCTATCTGGCTTCTTCACACTACAAATGCATATGCATTTACATCAATATGTATTTAGTTAAATAAGCTTAGAATTGCCTATTATCGCATGTATTAGTAAAAAAATATATATATTTTTAAAATCTGTTTTTTTAATACAATCTATCAACCAAAATCAAAAAAAATAAATTTCATAGAAAATATCACTTTATAAATAAAGTTCTTTAAACATATTTTATTTTTTATGAATAAGGCCATATTTCTTTAATAAATCTATTATTAGCATTATACTTAAACAATCAAGCCACAAATACATATGTAAATGTTATGTATGACACGTTTACTTTGCTCACCCGTGCATTTCTACTATCATTAAAATCATTAATTTATCTACTTTCATATGTACATACAAACATATCGTCGTTTAAAGTACAAAACCGCGTATCGTCATTCTGCAAAACCGCGTAACAGACGTTGGCTGCCAAAAAATGGGATTTGCTCACACAAGCTCTTGGCTAAATCCTTATCCATTCGTCCTGAAATATACTAGCCAGAAATGCGATTGCTTTATAAAAAAGAGAACCATTTTGAAATATGAGTGTTGTTACTCTCTAGAGAATAATTTATGCTACCTCACATACGCGGTTTTGCATTCAAACATATGCTCATACATAATATTTGCTAAATCGTGGCTACTCATTAAACCATTATTTATTATGTATTAGTAATGTGATGTGGAATTTACATAGCTAAGTACGTAGATACATATACATACATATGTATAGCACTTCACCTTTGTTTATATTTATTCTTATCAATCAATAATTCTCGTTTCTAAGTTCATATATCTTTAGTATATCTATATATGCACATACTTAGATACATATGTATGTGCCTTCATACGTACGTACGTCACAAAGGTAAATTATTAAAGCTTTTTATTAATCATTTAATTATTTTTTTTTATTTGTAGAGGCTATCAACGACTTACGTCAACGCATTCCCGAAATCGAAAATATTTTCGATGTACACAGCCGTATCGGCAATGGCACCTTCAGTACGGTGCTGCTGGGAACTTTGAAGAAGGAACGCGGTTTGCCGGAGCATATGCGACGTAAATTCGCAATAAAACATCACATACCCACCAGTCATCCGGATAGGATAATGAAGGAGCTGCAGTGCATGGCGAAAATTGGGTAAGTGACAGTGTTGGTGAAAATTTGGAATATTTAGTTTATTACGATACGTAAGATGGTCTATAAGGAATGTGTAGCAGCTCCTTTAATTGTCAGAATTTTAATTTGAAGACCTTCCTAGGCCGCCTAAATAGTCCAATACCTTTGGAAAGTCGTTTCTCCTTTTAAAACGAACTCGTGAAACCTTACCTTCTTAAAATAGTATTTATCTTTCAAAAAAAAATATTCCAGTCTATGTTTATCGAAATTAGCGTCACTCGACTTTTTATTTTAGGCTAGTAATCATTTTTCTACAAATCGTTACTTTAACATCGAAAGGTCCTATCTTACATCGTCGCTGAAATACAAAAAGCCGTAACTAAGTAAAAATCCAAAATTCCTTTTTGATTGATTAGGATGAATTTCATCGAATTATAAATCCCCACATCGTTTTAGCAATTATAAATTTTAGTCAGTNTTCTCAGCGACTATGAGTTAAGCATATTTATATTAAGGTAACGATATTTATGTATATTTTGTGACTGAATATAATCATTAGCTATAGAAGCTACAGTAGTGTGGACTGAAACAGGGTCAATAAATGCATAAAGTTAAAAAAAAATATAAACGCTTATCCTTGCATCGGCTTTGCAATATACAAAAAACTTAGTTTTTCAAAACTTTGTAAGTGGTGAGAAATGAATAAGGCTTTAAAAATTTGAAAAAGCTGAATGCTGCGAAAAAATAAATACGCTTCAAATAACATAAAGCTTTTAGGAACTCTTCTATGTAATTAGCGACTTTTTCCATATTTCTTTAGTAATTATTGAGAAACTTACGCCACTATTTAACTAAATTTGTAGATTTCCTTCTTGGGGATAAAGCCTATTGCAAAAAGTTTAATAATATATGTAGATAATTTCAGTAGCCCGTTCATTTCTCTTCTCTCTCAATTTTTGTATGTTGTAGCACAAAGGGAAATAATTCCTCTTTTTCTACCAATAGGAGGCCTTTTGGAGGAGCTCTCCTAAATCTACTACTTTACTTCATAAAGAAATTATATAAACGTGGTAAAATCATATTTCTTTAAATAATTCATGTAAGATTCATATCAAACCCATATGTTTTATTCCAACTTAAAAAGAATATTGCAATTCGCTTGCAAACTTATACATTCGCTTCAATTGTAAATAGGAAAAGCCCTACTAGAAGGCATGCAGAGTCTCAAAAACTTTGAAATTCTTAAAAACTGCATACGGGCATTGCTTTATTGCCTGGCGCTGTATATGTTGAGAATATAGATGGCACTTCTTTAATTTATGAGCCTACAGAGTCAGCATCCAAAGAAATGTATCTAAAAATAACCACATCTTTGTTGTGTACTTCCACAGAATTTTATCTGATGGCTAATTTCGCAAATTCTACACAAAATGTTAGTCATATTTTCCATACATAATTATTTTAAATACATTTGAATGCTTCTATCAAGAAAATTAGAGCACGACCATCAAAAGCATTCGTACCATTGTCAAGAGAAATACGCTTCTAATTCTTTCTTTTTGTTTTTGCAAAAAAAAAAACTTGTAAAATATTGCCACTCACGCGCCCAAGCGCTGACGTCGTCAACAGCACATTAAACTGTGGTGGGGGCTTATGACGTACATACATGTATTTCAGCAAAAATTTAAAATGCCTTTGCAAAGATTTTCGTATCGAAATAAATCCACTGCTAAAGTGCACGCACATGGCATATGGTATGTACATTTTGTATGTAAATATGTGTACCAGTTAGCAGGTATACATACATATATATCGTTACCTTAATATAGAAAGGCCCTAACTCATATAGTCGCTGAAATGCAAAAAGCCGTAACTGATTAAAATTTTTAATTGCTTAAAATGATGTGGGGACTTATAATTCGATGAAATACATCATAATCAATCAAAACAGGAATTTTAAATTTTAACTTAGTTACGGCTTTTTATATTTCAGCGACAATGTGAGATAGGACCTTTCTATATTAAGGTAACGATATGTAGTAGGTTTGTACACTGCCTCTACTTGATCGGGTGAAAAGGCCATTACTCGTATAGTTGACTGCCGAGCACTTCCTTTGCCTTTAGTGTATTTGTGATACGCCTACGGATTCATTGCTGGCACGAAAATTTCGCCATTGTAGGCGCTGAGTATCTACATACATATGTATATAGGACAGTCAATCAATAAAGTTTAGGTACATCGATTTTTTGCAATACGGGCAACTCTTTTCTAGTTATTTTATTTATCGCAACTTTTTTATAATTCTACAACATAAATCCCTAAAATCAGAGCTCCAAACCGTACGCAAAATTAAACTAAATTCTGCGAATTTTCATTAAAATATAGCACTTTTTAATTACACTCTTTTGAAAAAAGTTGAGTATGCAGTTGATTTTGTAGCCCATGCAATTTTAGTGCAATAATGTACATACAAGTCTGAGGTAGCTAGGACTTACCAATGATTTTTGACACATTTTTTTTTGTTAAAGGAGTCGCTCATTTTCTCTACATAAAAAATTTTCGATTTTATTATTATATGGAGAAAATGATCACATTCAGCAAAAAAAATTTGCAAAAAATCATTGGTAAGCCCTAGCTACCTCAGGCTTGTACATACATTATTGTCCTAAAATTGAATGGGCTTGAATAGTGCATACTCAGTTTTTTTTTTTAAGAGTGTAATTAAAAAGTGTAATATTTTGATGAAAATTGGCAGAATTTTCTTCAATTTGGTACAAGGTTTGGAGCTCTAATTTTTATAAAAAAAATTGGTAAAAATAATATAATTAAAAGAGCAACAACCAACAGTTGCCCGTATTGCATAAAAATCGATGTACCTAAACTTAATTGATGGACTGTATGTACGCGCATTCTTATGCGAATGTGCGTAGATTAACATCTGCTTACAAATGTACCCACTGAGTGAGTATACTGTGCATTTGTACTGGGTCTGGGGCTGTAACCACTGGTGGCGGCCGGCTTTCAGCAGCACTCATTCAATGCGAATTAACGTCAACATCAAACTATTTTCTAAATGCGCATGTTAAAAGAGCAACAGCCAACCTTTCCACCCCGCTGCGTCGTCCACGAGNCCTAGGCTCGGTCCAATTGTCTGCTTCAGCATTACATTGTAACCAATTTTAGATAACAAAAAAAATAACATAAAATAAAATAAAAAATAAAACTTGCCCCAGCTGCGATGGGAACCGGGGTTCTCTGATTTTTTAAGCGGATGCTCCCTCTACATGCCAGCGTTGTACACATAACTTCGTTGACTAAGTGCCTACATATCATGACATTGTAACCAATTTTAGATCAAAACTCATACTTTATGCATAACATTCGGACCATTTTTTGCACAATTCACCTGTTTTTCATTACATTTATTTAAATTTTTGGACTATCTTTGGTCTAGATACAAAGCTCGTAGACCTAAGATTGTATTTTTCGGGTAATTACACCAATTTTTCCTTCAAGGTGGTGACTACACGGTCAATCGATCGCCACTGACGTACGAGCACTTGAGCACAATTAACATTGCAGACGTTGCTGCTGGCTTCGTCGTTGTCGGCTCGTAAGCACTTTGCGTAAATATCAACATACAATTGCCGTCTGGTTTGTGCCTGTATCGGTATCTGTATTGTGGTCGGTGTAACCTTCACCTTCGCTCCGCCGTTGAAGGCAATTGTACGCCAGCAAAGTTGCAGTTGTTGCTGTTCCTGCTGTAATATACTTCCAGATCAATATAGCGTCTCACTACCATGTCTGGCTCTTCCCTCTCGTCTTTCGCATGGCCGGCTGGCTGGGGTAGTACTTAACGCGCGCGGTGTGTGTGCGTGGCAAAGCGTGCACTATCACTCATTGCATGTACATATACTAGTTGATTAGATTCCACTTTGCTTTGTGACTATTTTGTTGCCTCTGTTTTATTCTTTCCTCTTTTTGTTGCTTTATTCATCTTTGATAGCTGCTTCTAAAAGTGGACGGAACGTCACAGCGTATCGACGACGTATGTACGTCACAAGCAAATTTATTTATATTCCGCTTTCAGTGCAACGTGATGAAAGGTTGGCTGTCGGTCTGACTTTCTGCCTACCTAGGGGTGGTAGGTCGGCAGCCAAAGTGTGCCGTTAACCATCAGACTGCACAGCAGCGTCTAAGGTGGGCTAGTGAGTGGCGTGTTTTTCGCTTTCAAATGTCAACAATTCATTTCAGATGTTATTGTTGTTGCTGTAGCGGCTACATTCAGATCTCATTTTTAAGCGGCTACACACTTGTTCCAAGTGCAATGATGGGCGGAATGGGGCGACCCCAACTGCTAAACAACTCACCCACAGCTGCATATCACACGGCAGGCGCTTATACTTACATACGTGAATTAAGTTCAAGATTGCTTTATTTATTTTTTATATTTACATACATACATATGAAAGATGTATGTGGATCTGTTACATACATACATATGTACATGCATCCCTACAACGTCAGTGAGGCGCATGTTTTTGAATGAGGCGCTTGGGCGGGTGCGGGAACGGCATGACGTCCGCTGACGCTTCCTCTATGAGCTGCCAGTCACTCGCTCAGGCTTCGTTGTGTTGCTTTTTTGTTGGGTTTAATTTTATTCAACGAATTTTTATTTACGTAAATAACAGCGCGAACACTTTCTCGTATTTCTGTCGATGATAATTGCCAATATAAATTTGTTGAGCTTTTCAGTGAATTGAATTTTTTGTTGTAAATTATTTCGCTTGACGCACTTTGCTGTTAAATATTTAATCAATCCATTTTCTATGACGGGTTTAACGATTTGTGGTTCAAGGAGAAAAATTGTTTTTTTTTTAGTAAATAAATTTGAAATGTATGAGAAAAAATTAATAGTTTTAATAAAATTTATGAAAAAATTAATAGTTTTAATGTTGTTTTTAAAACAAAACTTTTTTAAATAGGTACCTTTATTTCTGCACGTCTTTTAATTCGCTAGGAATGTTTTATCTTTTTTATGTTTCTCTTATTATTGTTGTAGCCACCGAAATAAATTTTCTTAATTTTCTCACTCAGTGAAAGCAATTTTAGGATAGCTTCATAGAACAGAAGCTGACCAGCTGGGTCACTCCTGGAAATACAGCAGCCACATTCAGACCATCTTTTGGGCAAAATGGTGGGTGCGGATTTCTATTCTATCATTTTTCCGCAAAACATTAAAATATAATTTCTAAACTCATGAAAATTCAATAAATATTCATGCAAATTTTCAACTTTTTAACCAGATTTTTTAGAATTCCTTTGAGTATGCAGATTTGTAGCGCAATACATTTTATTGCAATAAAGTGGAAATTTGAAGTATCTAGGACTTACCGTTGATTTTTGACAGTTTTTTCAAGCAGTTTCTTCCTTTAAAAATAAATTTTCGAAAATACTGTGTATGGAAAAATGCTAAACACCTTCAAAAAAATCTTAAAAATCAAAGCAATTTTCGACTAACTTCAAACTTGCATTTTTTAAACTAGAATTTAATGGGCTGCAAAACTCAAGAACTCAAAAAATCGGATTAAAAAGTTGAAAATTTGCATGAAAATTTATTAAATTTTAGCAAATTCTGGGCAAAGTTTAGAAATTATTATTTTTATTTATTATTATTTTTTTATGTTTTTTTTTGTATTTTTATGAAATTTATAGTAAACAACGCATGAAAAATTTTAAAAGCACTTATACTTTCGCTAAAATCCCAGTTTTTTCACATTTTCTTTATTCATTCTTTTTATGAATCATATGTATATTTTTAAAATTTTAAACAATTAAAACTTGTTTCATATCCAAAATTTGACGGTCAAGCCCATTTTTCAAAAATTTGTCATAAATCTATTTATTGCTAAAGAATTATTGCAAACATCAATTTTAAATGAACTAGTAGTTACTGATTTATGGAAGGTATCGCACTTTTCTAAATTACCGTTATATGGGATGTGGGCGTGGTTATTGTCCGATTTCAAAAATTTTCAGCCGTCTGGTTTGTTTTATCAAGATCAACCACTGCGCCAACCTAATAAGCTTCAGTAGTTATTAAATTATCGGAGTTTTCGTATATCCGCGGTAGGCGTGGTTATTGTGCGATTTTGCCTATTTTCTATCGTATATATGNTCTAAATTACCGTTATATGGGATGTGGGCGTGGTTATTGTCCGATTTCAAGAATTTTCATCCATTTGGTTTGTTTTATCAAGATCAACCACTGCGCCAACCTAATAAGCTTCAGTAGTTACTAAAATATCGGAGTTTTCGTAGATCCGCGGTAGGCGTGGTTATAGTGCGATTTTGCCCATTTTCTATCGTATATACAGACGGGCGGACGGATGGATTTATTTATTTTTTGTTCATTTTCGTAATTTTCTCCATCTAGATTGTTGAAATAAAGCACTGTGCTGCAGTAGTGAGCCAGTCTTAAGTTCAGTTACTTAGAACTCTTACTGTCCCGAAAACCGAATACTCAAAAGATCCATTCCAATAATAAATTGGAAAGTCTATATCTATACCAGCGCTCCATGTGCATATGTACATACATATAGACCGCAGGTTTATCAATTTCTTGAGAATACAGTTCTGCCTGCCTATCACATCTCATCACTCACATTTTCCCCTTTCTCTTTTCAGCGGCACCGACAATGTCGTCGGCATCAACTGCTGCATACGCTACAACGAATCGGTGGCCTTCATCATGCCGTACATGCAACACGATCGTTTTCACGACTTCTTCAACAAAATGGAGCTGTCCGAGTTGCAGCACTACATGCGGAATTTGCTGATCGCCCTGCGGCACGTCCACAAATTCAATGTTATTCACCGCGACGTGAAGCCTAGCAACTTTTTGTACAACCGACGCAAGCGCCAATTCCTGCTGGTGGACTTCGGCCTGGCGCAACAGGTGCCCACATCTCATGTGGCGAACACTCTGGAAGGGGGCTGTGAACAGCCGCTCTCATTGGCGATGGGGTCGGAAGGCAAGCGTCCGCGCGACGGCGAAGACTCGGCGTCCAACAGAACGGCCGATTCGAATGGCAGCGTGGCGGCTGGTGACGCTTATGGCGGCTCAAAGCGTCCGCGTTGCACCGGGCCACATGGCGATCAGGAATTTACCGCAAATGCGACGCCCAATGCACGTGTCGCCAACAGCTGCATAGTTGGCGGTTCGCCATTCAAGATGCCACTGAAGCAATTGAACGAGATCACTGCGACGGGCGGCAACAAGACTAGCGCTTTGGGCGCGGTTTCCAACCTAGCAATGGGAAGCGGCACGAACGCGACCAACCACAACAACAACGCCGGCGATAATGGCATTTGCGAGGCGCAGCTAGGACGGCAGGTAAAGTCCGCCATACTGGGAAGCTCAGCAAGCACCCGCCTGCAGCAGAAATTGCGTCAAAGCGGAGGCGGCATGCGCAGTCCCAACAGTGCCGCACAGGATGCTGCAGCCACCGGCTCGAATGCCGGCGCAGCACAGTGCATGGAGAGCTGCTTGGCCAACAAATACAACACCAATCGCAATATGAGCGTCACCAACGGCCCGAAGTGCGTGTGCTATGGCAATCCGCAGGTCTGCAACATCTGCCTCGTCAAAAAAGAGATGCACGCATCACGCGCCGGCACGCCCGGCTATCGGCCGCCTGAAGTGCTACTGAAGTATGCCGATCAGACCACTGCGGTTGACATTTGGGCTGCGGGCGTCATATTCCTCTCCATACTGTCATCGGTGTACCCGTTTTTCAAGGCGCCGAACGACTTTGTGGCGCTTGCTGAGATGGTCACCATATTCGGCGACAAGACCATACGTAAGACTGCCTTCATACTCGACCGCTTGGTGACGCTGAGCCAAAAGACGCGACCGCTGGACCTACGCAAGCTGTGTGTGCGCTTTCGAAATCGCGTGAAATTCAGCTCGCCAGAACTGCTGAAGAAGTATCAGCGGCCGGATGGTACCTGTGAAGTGTGTCGCAACTGTGATCAATTCTACTTCAACTGCTTGTGCACGGAAACCAACTACAACACCGAACCGCTGGACGGCGATGACCCTTTCCCCGCAAGCGCCTACGATTTGCTGTACAAACTGCTCGAAGTGAATCCACATCAACGCATCACCGCTGATGAGGCGCTCAAACATCCCTTCTTCAGTGAAATGGCCACCACCAGCATCAGCCAGAGTTCAAGTGTTACTAGTAACAACAATAATAATAATAATAATAATGTAAATAGAACGGCTATCTCCATAGAGAGCATACAGAAGAAGGGTGCACGTGATAAAGTAGAACCTTGAAGTTTGCGCAAATGACGTGGCAAACGTGGGCGGAAGGGGAGAGAGAAACCTATAGAAACTGGAAGTTAGGCAGCCGTAAAAATGTTCGTTAATTGTCTGCGAGTTGCAAATTGTTGAGATTGTTTTTGGACCTCAGTCATACGTAGTAAATCATGAATACCGNGTTTGCGCAAATGACGTGGCAAACGTGGGCGGAAGGGGAGAGAGAAACCTTAAGAAACTGGAAGTTAGGCAGCCCCTAAAAATGTTCGTTAATTGTCTGCGAGTTGCAAATTGTTGAGATTGTTTATGGACCTCAGTCATACGTATCATGAATACCAGTCAGCGCAGTATAGGCGCGCATGTGCCTGTGTCTGTGCAGTTACCGGACCCCAAATCGCCTTGTTAAATTGTACGACGATCATTTCGTATTCTGATGTATTTATTATGATTAGAAACTAATAGCAATCGTTTTGGCCCAGTCTAAATCGAAGGATGATGTCTGTAAAAATTTTACAAATGTGTTTGGAAATATTGTGAATGATAGCGTAGTAGTGTTTTTATGTAATATACTAGTATAAAATATATTTTTCAAAATCATGCAAAAATGCGATGATTACTAAGAAGAGAGCAAAGGGACCCAGTGACCGAACTCCTTAGCCGGCAGCTAGCCACTACGGAAAGTGGCATCATTTCGAAAAGTACCCAGTTAAATTGTAAATTACACGCTTTATTTGATGATTATGCTTTCATTTGTTTTTTTTTTTCTTTTTTGTTGAAAATTTGCGCTTACACATAATTTTTAGTTACTTATAATTTATTTAGTATTATTACAGCAAATAAAAGGGTAAACGTTACAAATATGTATTTAGATTTTCTTTTTATAATTTTTTACAGTTTACTGTGCAATATTAAAACAAAATTATTAGATTAGAAATGTATATTTGTGTGTAATTTTGTGTATGTCGTGTGATTTAGAATTGATAATTTAATATAGAACGTACTAATTGAAATTAAAATTATTTGTTGAACTACAAAAACTTAGAGGTTTTGTTTCATAGTTCGTAGCATATGTATTTTTGTTACATTTTTCTTTATTAGACGGCATCGATACGCATATGTACTATATATGTACATACATACATTCGTCGTTTAAAGTACAATGCCGCATATCAAGATAAGCAAAACCTGGTATGGGAGGCTACCCAAATTTTACAGGAGAGAGTAAAAAATGTCTTATTTCACAACGGTTCTCTCTTTAATCTCCAATTATCTCTACTTTAAATCTCTAAATATCGATATTTTGATACGAATGGATAAGGCTTGATGCCAGGAGTTTCCGGTGAGAAAATTTAATTTTTGGCACAAATGTCAGCTACGAGGTTTTGCAGATCCACGATACGCGGGTTTGCGCTTTAAAGGACGATATGCTTCTGAGTAGAGATAGTATTTTGAAACCTATATTTAGCTTTCATTTTTAAACTATTATTGATGGAAATATCCAATATACGCATCCATGGATAAATGCCGAATTGGAGCATAGTTGCGCAAATAAGGCATCCCCATCAATTATAGTTTGGAAATAAAAGAGACCGATGCCTTGGCTTGACAGGGCCAATAATAATCCTGGCTAATAAAAACCCTCTGTAGGAACTGCCACCAACATTAACATACCTGGAGCTGAAGACAACCATCATTGAATCTAAATCACCAATATTTATCGGCACCTTGTGATGTAGAAGCAACTAAAGACGGCGTGAGCTGAATATCCTCTGCTATCGAAACAGTTCCTCTTGGAGCGCCACCTCCCCCAAATGATGCTCTTTTTCCTTCTTTTATTAGCGCACCTTAGCTGAGATTCTATTCCTAGTACTTTGCGTAGAAATACTTTGGCCTACATATTAAACATTTACATTTTTCAACCAATTATTACCAAGTGCGATTATTCTCGCGTTGCTTGAAAAAAGGTTAAAGTAATATTCCGGCAATTTTAAATCTAACGCACGTTTTTATTAACAGTTTTTACATTTTACAAATGAAATGATACATATTTTGTTAGTATCATTCCTTAGTCCCAAAAAGGAGTATTTCCATTTCCTCCACCTATGATTGCATTTTCTCAACTTTTCGCTTAGTTTTAGGCACTTTATCTTCCTCCAATTTTTCATCGACCCGTATGCGTTTTCCCTTTTTGACCTGCTCTTTTGTGGGTTGTGTTTCCATTACCCGTTTTTTTGGAGCTTTGTAGCTACCCTGTCCAGCAGCACGTTCAGCTTCCTCCACCGTGTATGGCTCCAATTCTAACGCCTTCATACGACGTTTGTGCACTTTGGTGCGAAAATGTGCTTGCATTGCATGATCGTCGATGAAGTATTTGGCACAGTGTACACAGTAGAATTGCGCGAATCCAGGCTGATCGAGATCCACCGGTTGATTGATAAGCTCTGCTGATTGTGTACGCAAATCGTCGTCAATTTGGTCGAGATCACGTCGCCGACTGCGCACACGCCAACGGCGACGTAGGTGCGTGTCACCGGAGTGCATTTTCTTGCGCTTCTGTACCATACCCATTTTGATGCAGCTCTTTTGAAGATTACAGTTGCACGGAACTAATTTGAAATGCGAAGTGTGGAAGCTAAATTGGAGGTAAAGTTTCTAATTAGTTTAAAGCTTTTTATTTAATTAAAAAAAATGAGAAATTACCAGTCTGCTATTTTGGACGACCACGAGTTTCTGTTTTTATACTGCGTACGCTTTCCCACACAAACAACAAAAACAAAATGATTTTGACATTTTCTTGCACATGATGTACGCAATAGAAAACGAAGAGAAGAGAAGGTGTATAAACTCTGAATGGCAAATTTTTCCAGCCAACAACTGGCGAAGTGTATTTCCAGTGTATTTCATCAAACCACGTTTTTTGTCACCACTATTTAACCAGTACACCTACATATTTTATAAACCTTCAATTTCAAATAAAAAATTTCCCTACAAAAATTATTTGATTATTTATTATACACTCTTATAAAGTTTATTTGAAACACACATTTTCTTTTAAAATACCTTTATTTTAACAGCCCTATTTGCGTGCAATGACAAAACTCTCTGCTATAACTATTGTCATGCTTATAATCAATTGTCACGTTTAGGTGTACAGAGGGCAATTTGAAAGCTCTAACGCTGACAAATGCTATTATTTTTGTGGTGACCTATTGAGTACGTGACAACGCTAAAACACATGTTAATATTTTAAATTTTATTAATTTTGCAGAAAAAAGTTAAAAATTTGTATTAAAATATGGTCACATAACAATATTATCTCAATCAAAGCTCGTTTTTTAATCGCCCCGTTTACACAGGCAAATCTCAGAATATTAGCTGTCAAATGTGTTGTGCTTGTTATTCTCACATCTCAAGGAAAATTTATGTTTCTTCTCTGTGCCACCGTGATCACGTTTTTCTGCTATAATAAGCAATATAAATATATTTTAACTTAACATTTTATTAAAAATACCTTTACAAACCTCTTTTACTTGCTAGCGTACATTTTTGTTTACTTTTACATTTGGCATTTCTCCTCTCTTTCGCAAAAACAATCGATAAAACTAGGATGGACACCGAAAAGTTATCCATTTCGGCGTATTTTGTTTAAAAGAAATCCAGTCTGTTGCAGTGGCAGTCAAAAAGAATAATTCAATTGTAAACAAAGAACAGATGTTTCACTACAGAGAAACTTTCGCCACAATTGGCAAATAAAACGAGCTTTACTTATGACTACAGTTGATGACACGATAATGACACTTGACGGCTGTGACATTACACGATTAGGGCTGTAAGATAAGTTAAATGTACAAATTCGCTATCCAAGTTCTCCTTCTTTAAATTTATTTGACTCTGTTTACTGGGCAATCTCAATTTGGCTTGAGGTGAAAATGTTATTCACCAATTTTGTTAGTTATTGACAATTTCCACGCTGATTCGTTGCTGTCAGCTGTCGCTTTCGCTGCTGCGTAGTTTGTGGAGCGAGCCTAGCGCGGCAGAGTTGTCAATTGTTCGAAAAGCTTTCAAGTGGTTGGTTATGTGAGTTTTCCATTGTAGCTAAAACTTTAATTATTTTGTTAAAAGAGCTAAATAAGCATTTTTTGTTGGAATTATCGAAAAAATCCCCTAGGGTGCAAAATTTGATGCAGTGCCAAGCGTATATGAATGTCCGCTTAATGACAAAGTGACTCGAAAGAGATAAGGTCTTTGGAGCCAAAAGTAAAATCGGTGCATAGTGCGAACGCTGCATGAAAAATTAAAAATCACTAGCAAATGAAAATCAGCGCTACTTGAACATCTGAGAAAATTTAATTGGATTGAATAAGCTGCTGAACACATTCCAACAAAGTACATTCGACTGCTGCAGAAACCAACAGCGACCTAATTGAGCCAACTGGACATTAGCTGGCACAGCCATCAGCAGCTGTGTCTCCCTATTGGTCTTCCATTGATCGTTCCAGCGGTGATAGCGGGGCAAAAGCGGTAAGTTGCACACCACTCGTTTTATCTGTGATTTTATCATTACAAACTACTTATGTACTATTATCAGCAGCGCTTATCGCATTTTACAGCTATTAATACTAGAAGGTTTATAGATATACGCCATAAGCTATTTTAGTTTTGTTTTGTTCATTTACCGCTCATAAATATTTCTGTTGTCGATTTTATATGTTTTAATGATTTGGTGTCTACAGTCAACACAATTCCATCAATGCCATATTCGTGGATAGGTTGGTTTTTCGAATGATGTAACTCATCAGCCAGCAAAGCAGTCACGCAGAAAAGCGCAGCGTTTCAGCGTTGCAATCTGCTTATTTACTTACCGTGCAGGTATGCAAAAAGCTAGAAATACACAGCAACGTGTCGTGGCATGGAGCGTTTCGTTGGGAGTAAAATCACATTGTTGCTAATCAACAACCAGTTTCTCTGTCAGGCGGAATTCGCATAAGCGCTGTGTCAATTATCGTTTGTAACCGCACATACGCTGCTGACTACTTATACTTGCACTTTTACAACATACTCTGTGGCTTGCGGTGGGAAACGAATGCTTAAAAAAAATAGCTGAATGATAAATAAATTATTACAGAAAATAAACCCGCAAAGGTAGTTCATTTAAACTTTTTCGAAGCTGATATTGTAAGAAGGCATACAATGCAGAAGTCATTACATTGAACGGTTTGCCAAAGAACTTGGGCGGCAATGTTCTTACAAGAAGAGCTGTCTACTATTATTTACAATGACGAATGTACATACACTGTCGGAACAAAGTATTGTCACAGCAAATTTTTCACAATATATGCAAAAATTTTCATTCTAATATTTTTCCGCTAATTTCGTATAAAAATATAGTTCATTCTACAACAAAAAACAGAAAAATATAATTCCTAAACTTTCAAAATTCTGCAAATTTTCATGAAAATTTTTAACTTTTTAATCAGATTTTTTAGAGTTTTTTTGAGAATGCAGATTTGTAGCCCAATCAATTTTATTATAATAAAGTGCAAGTTTTAAGTAGCTGAGAATTACCGTTTATTTTTGGAAATTTTTTTCACGCAGTTTCTTCTATACAAACATTTTTTTTCGAAAATACTAATGATTTGGAAAAAATGCAAAACACCTTCAACAAATAAAAATCTCAAAAATTAACGCGATTTTTGTGTAACTCCGAACTCGCATTTTTTTTACAAGAATTTAATGGGCTGCAAAACTGCATACTCAAAAAAATTCTAAAAAATCTGATTAAAAAGTTGAAAATTTTGATGAAAATTTGCTGAATTTTCACAAGTTTTGCACAAAGTTTAGGAATTTCATTTTTATGTTTTTTGTTGTTGAACGAAACATATTTTTATACAAAATTGGCGGAAGAATATTAGAATAAACATTGTTGCATATATTGTGAAAAATTTCCTGTGCCAATACTTTTTGCCGGCAGTGTACATATTTTAGATACCTGCAGCTTCAGCGATTTCTAAATAATCCTTATTATGTACATATATGTACATGTATCGCTCATTTACTGCAATCCTGTGATAACTCAGAAAAGCAACACTCGAGATAAACGGCTTTAAAACAGACATCCAAACTAATTATTTTAATACTTAGGATCAAAAAAGTAGCATCTTTTTAAGATACAGTTCTTTCGTCTTTGTATTATAAATATTAACGTGAAATATTTTTTTTCGTCTCGCAGGACGATTATTTTCAAATGGAAATTATTTTCATATTAATTATACGGGACTTTTATTTTTCTCGTATCTCGGGAAATTTAGTTCAAGACGAAAATGATTTTATTTTAATAGAATTGGTACACTTATAGCCGATTTCTGGGCATTCTCCGAATGCGATTATTTGAATTTGATATTCTAGCATGTGACACCCTTTTCAAAAAACTAAAATCACGCAAAAGCAAAGCCCTTTGACATCTCATTTTTGAAAATCGGACGAACGATACAGATTCGATGACATGAACAATCGTGGCTTTAAATCTTCGAGCTCGATTAAGAAGTTTCATTTCAATAAAAGTCCCATAAATGATGTACATAATTATTAAGAGAAGACATAAAGGCAGTTTCACACGGTTGGTACATTTTTACAGATTTTATATTGGGCTGTTGGAACAAAATAAAAATATTGGGTCGGCATTTTCTTTGTAGTAAAGTCGGGCTTGTTCTATACGGAAAATATGTTCCCTTATTTTTTTATTTTGAAATCAAAAAATATTTAGAGGTCGCCCAAAGCGCCCAAAGTTGTCCATGTATTTTATATGGGGAAAAACGACGTTTCGTAGAAATGGTATAGAATAGTTAAAAATTCATATTTTTGTACCAAAAAACTATTTTTATCTGCAGGAAATTCCCAGTAATAATACCCAAATTTTTATTTAACCATTTTTTCATCGCAACTATAATTTATCGGTCCGCCAAAAACCCACAAAAACCCCGAAAAATTCAATGGGGCGGCCAATAAAAAATCGTTGGTATTAAAAAATGATTAAATAAACAATTGGGTATTATTATTGAAAGTCTCTTGAAGAGAACCAGAGAGCATTACAATTCCGACTTTACTGTTTTTGGACCACCCTAATGTACACACATATGTGTAATATTTTTATATTTTAATTAGCAAAAATATGTAGATACTTATGTAAGTGAGTGAATTTTTCGGAAGTCAATTAAATTTGTTCGCAAAATCCTAATTTTCCACGGAATTTTTCGCTTGATTTACTTTGAAATTATTATTTTGGTGGCGGAGTGCCGCCCCTACTTCGTTGAACATTTGAAATGAACACATACATATCGCTCATTTATTACAAGCTTTTATTTAACATCGCTTTGTATGTACATGCACTTGTGATCAGCTAATTAAGCCAGCAACATTTTCATAAATTTTGGCTATTTTTCTTTTGTTTATTTATTGTTTATTATTTTTCCATAAAAATCTAGCTCATTATATAACAAACACTACATAAATCCAGATTTCAAACTTTGTGCAAAAATTGCGAAAAATCTGCAAAGTTTTAGCTAGATTTTAAATTTTAGTATTCAGATTTTTTAGATTTTTTTTAAGTATACAGTTTCATTCCCCATTAAATTCTAGGGTAATAATGTCTTAAGTTGCTAAAAAATCGCGTTGATTTTTTTTTTCTGACTTCATGACGCATTTTCTTCCATACAAAAAAAATTGTCGAATTTATTTTGTATGTAATGCAGTCAGAAAAAAAAAAATTATTAAAAATCAACGCGATTTTTTAGCAACTTGAGACTTGCCCATTATTACCCTAGAATTTAATGGGTTAGTAAACTGCACACTCAAAAAAATTCTAAAAAATCTGAAT